ATCCAAAAAATTACCACTCATTATTCTTGTCGGTGCATAACACACATACAGCTTATGTGATCAAGTTTAGGTAAGTTTTAGGATTTTCGATCACAAAATAGGCCAAATACTTTGATTAAATAAAATCTATCGTTCATTACATTTAATACAAACTGAAATTAAATAACATTTTGTATGGTCATTTACAGTAAATGAAAACCGTTGTATTAAATCATTATCAAGGTCCGTCTTGATAATTGTCAATAAATTGAGGATTAGGTAAATTGTTATAAATAAAAATAGTATATTTGTAATATACCAATGAGTGGAAAAATTGAATTTTCTGACATTTCATGACTTAGTGTAGGATATTCTTGTTGTTTCGTCTTACTACTTAAACTTGGATTTATTTGAATTTGGTTATTTATCCTCTGAAGAAGTGTCCAACAGGAAGTCACGAAACGCCAGAAAATTCAGTTTTTCTACTCATTGGGATAATACTAGTATATTATTTATTTACTTTGTATTAAATATTGAAAATAGTAATAATAGTCTTTTTGAATGAATTGTATTTTGAACACAACACAATAACCTATCAATAAGAATTTTGAAAACAGTGGTTGAATTTCGTCTAAACTTGATTGAAGAGTTACACAGTATTTGGGCGCCGAATTATTGTGAGACATTAATGAGGAAGAATGTATTTGTAAAATATTGAAAAAGCTTGAACCAGATTGCCAGGCGAAACCTTGAATTGACTTCAAAATTCATTCGCTAAGATTTTACAAACACATTCTTCCCCTTTAATGGTTGAATTTATTAATCTATTACTTAAGTTAAAATGATCATAAAATAACATGTATTGATTTCATGGTTCATGAATATGATAATAAGTAATCAATAGCTTATTTCGATATGTAACACATCCATTACAGTCCCTATTTTGCACAAAGTTTGCTTTATTTTTTTACATAGTTCTAAATTTTTATTCAATGAATATTGAAGCAACTGTTTGCTTACAACATGATGAACATAAATAACACTATGGTAAACACGAGAACACTAATGGAGACAACGAAATTTTTGTTAATACAACATGACAGAATATCTTGCTGAAATTTGAGAACCATGCAATCAACACTTGATTTGCGAAATATCCATCAATTGTATTAAACTTTAATGTTCCTTCGTTTTCACATCAATCACTCTCTGTTCTCGTTTTCTTCTCTTAGATTTTCTCAGCTTTCCTCAGCCAGGCATTGCGATTTCAATTGGTCATCCATACTACTTATATATGTCAGTAGCATATTTCACAATGTTACTGAATTTGCCATGCTTTGCAATCCATATATATATATATAATATATATATATATAGCACTTCGCAGTTACTGTTTTTTTAATTTCTTTGTCACTTACCACTTTACCTTTCGTAACTGATTGATCGTAATTGTTTCATAAGTCATTGTCATTATCTTAAAATTTAACTTTGTGTTATGTTTATATTCATATGATCAGGAACTTTTTATTTCTCCTGAATGACTTAAACATCATGACAATTATTTATGATTATTGAGGTTATAACGTTCTAAATCTATGGAGCTGTTACTCTTGTTGCATAGTTTGTCTTGGTTTGTTTGATTTGACTGTTCATCAACTTTATCCTTAATTTCTGAATTATCCTCCAACTTTTCGCTCAGCTGATTCCCTGATATAAGTGTCATAAATGAAGGTTTTTACCTTGTTTTGCGTTTATAACATTATGAAAGATTTAGCTTTAGAGTTTTATTGACTAAATATCTTGTTGCCATATCGATATTCCAAACAACAGAATTTCCCTTATCTTGGTCTGGATACCGCTGTAGGTATTCAATGGTTACACTAGCTTTAAAGTTTAATGAAATGATGAAACATTTGAGCTTTTTTAAACATTCATAATAACACTAATCAAAAAATGATGAGCAATAACTTTTTTTCATCTAAAACTGATCTAGTCAGAATATTTTCGATTTAAATGATGGTATACTACCTTAGTTCAAAATTACTGTATTCTATTCAATAATCTACCAATTTGACTGAGCTCAATTTTTATCATATTTTTATTATATTAGTTACACATTGATGTAAATTTTCTGTATAAATTAAAAGAAACTGATATCACAATATTCTATCACTTTTCAGTAAACTTAAGTTCACTTATCCTTTCTGTAATGATGACATAGGGAGTGAAATTATGTTTTTTCGTCATTAATCCATTCAAAAAAAAAACTGAACATATACCTTTTATAAATTGAAATCTATATAGTTTAGCATATATATCGTTTATATAGTTAATAGGAGATAAAACGAATGAAAATATAGATACATTATTTATTAAATTTATTTAAAAGATCTACAACATTTAGGCTAATGTAATTAGCAGTAAAATGATGCGTGTTTTTTTTCCCCCACTTTAAGTTTGATTCATTTTATTGTATAGAGATATATATGAAATGTATAGTGACTAGTCTTAAGATCTTAAGAATAAAGGTTTTTGATACAAATATATAAAACATTATTTCTAATACATGATAATACTATTCATAGTAAAGAAGAGTAGATAGTTGTCTATAATGAATGTTCTTTTCTAGAATAAACAAAAGTATTTTCTAATTCAATATTAGTTATAAGATAAAGATACATCTATTGAAACATCAATCCAATAATTACATTATGAGCCAAATTCCTTCATTCTATAATTTGTAAATCTAATAACTTAAACAAACTGTAAGATACATTTTTCACATGATTCAGTAATGATTTTTTTCAAATATTTATTATAGATAATAATTCTATGAATACAAATAAGAAAGTTTGTTATTTCTTCGTATGTATAAAAGTTTAAAACTTCATCAAAATCATCCAACTAAGCTATAAATCTTCTCTAACATCTCAACTTTAAGTCAACGAAGCTAAATATATGATATTTGAAAGGAGGAATGAAAGAAGAAGAATAACATGCTATTTTGATTAACTTTATTTTGAATTGTCATTTAGGCAAATATCAATGCTGAAAATGTTAAATTAAATGTATTTGATTCTAATGAAACTTTATATGTATTATATAATCAATTTGTTGTGTGGATTGTAAACAGTCCTTTGTCAATTATAACAGTAATTTTCTTTCTAAGTTAAGAGTTTATTATGAATTAGTTTCTATAGTTTTTCAAGTACTGGCCAAATGTCAAATTTATAATACGATACACCTACATCGAATGATATAAATTTAAAATAGAACTAAACTTTTGAAATCATTTTGTCTCTTATCATTTAAGTGTTCTGATGAAACATTCAATTGGTTTATATAAAAAATTAAATAAATAAATTATGCAAAGTGTATTTCTTTGTGTTCTATAATTGAAGGTAATCAATAGAAAAGTTCACTATTAAAATGATCTAATTTCCCTGGAGAAGTATAAGAGACCATTCTATCAAAGAAAAACAATCTTTTTCATTAATCAGTTATTAAGCTAATTTTTAAACAACTATCTTATGAAGCAAAGATGAATAGTGCCTGACAGTGGAATCGAGGAAGCGCGTTTCGTCATATTTGGGACTCGTTGTTTGGATGTGCCTGCACCCCAAAATTGTTTTTCACTCTAGGACTCGAACCTAGTACCTTTCGCTTCAAACACCATCGCGTTATCAATTTAGCTACTCAGCCAATCACTTTCCTAATGGGGTGTTGTTTACTTGGATCTTCTCATGGTTATTTGGAACTACAATTGATCACTCTCTTATTGGCATACATGCATCCCGTGCGGATTGCCTTGATATAGCCTTAAGTTACAAGCTTTTTATGAAATTCATATCTAATTATGTAAATCTACCTTTTAATGATAATGATTATACATTGTTACTAATATCAATAACAACAATAATCGTTAACAATATTCAGTATTATCTTAGCTAAAATAAATAATTAGTAGAACTGTAAACAGAAATGTGATAGTAATTACGAATTCCTTTTCTTCATTATTAATTGATCTAAATGTATAGGGTCAAAGGAATGAGATAAAAAGTGAACTAAAAAAGTAAATAAAATGAGTATTTCTCTCTAAACATCAATGTTTTATATAATAGATTCTTATTAACAATCTATACAACAATAAAATATAAATAACCTTGTTAGTTTAATTGTTTTTATTCGTATAAGATATATATGACAAGTGTATAGACATGTGTACAGTGTTTAGTTCCCATATATGAAATGTTGATACATCATCTACTTATATTATGGTTGTTATATATTATTTGACTGAAACATTTATAAAAACTAATTATATCCAAGTAATTTACAAATGAATTTTTGTATTATATCCTAAGTACTCAACTTGATAATGTCTGATTTACCAGTAAACGTTTTACTTTTGAGTATTTGTTGAAAACTTTAGTGTAAGAGATTTGATCTGATTTAGAGACATACATTCTGTAGTTGATTTACATTGAAGAGAGGCTCAATAGTTATTTTCATAAATAGAAAACTTTAGTTTTTAATGACTTTTAACCTTATTCTGTGACTGTTGAGCCTAAGTCAAATTCGATCCACAATGGTGAATTTTGTGTATTGTCATACAAAGAATGTTAAAAGAATGAAGGCTTGTTCATCTTTACTACAATGACATTTTAGTATATTTTGTGACTTTTAGAAAACCATGCCAATTACAATTTTCACAATAATGAAATATTCTGACTTTTATGCTCCACTATCAGAAATACATTTCTTGTGAAACTACCTACCAGATTATCATTAACTGGTTGTACTCATTATGCCAATTATATTTATTCAAATTTACCGCATATATCTGATTTCGCACCTAAACATAAATATACATATTAATACCAAGGTTGGACATGATAGTTTCAAATAAAATCAGAATCTGTATAGAGAGTAAATAATAAATATATTATCACTATGAGGTTGTAAAGATTGTTAAGTTTTTTGATTGAAATCATGAATCGATTGATATAAGACCACCACCAAAAGCCTGGAAACAGTGGACAGCCATTTCGTCCTATTATGGGACTCCTCGACAATGTGCATACACGATCTCTCACGTGGGATTTATTGTCGGCTATTTGTTTACTCTGGAGAATTGGCTTACGTTAAGTCATGAAACGTCAGAAATACAATTTTTCTACTCATTTGGATATAACAAAAATATATTTATTGCTAAATATGAATAGTAAGTTACACTAAGTCTTCATTGATTGTTGTGAATATCTTATCTTTTCTTCTCATAACAAAATTTAATATTATATTTTGTAATACTGTAAATATAACACTGTTTAGCAATATTTCATTCTCAATATTGTTTTTAATTACCTTTCAGATCCTCATAAACAGTTCTATGATCCAATTTATGAATACAGTGACTACATCAATCAGGAGATAATTCCAAACAAACGTTATATTAGATTTGGAAAACGAGGAGCTGATGATGTTATGCGTTACGGTGGTATTCCAACATTAACACGGCATAAAACCTACTCTATATATGATCTCTTAAAAGAAAGACAATAGAATTAATAATTAATGCGTTTTTTGTTTCTTTTTTCTATTAAAAGAAGAAAAGAGTTTTATTAAAAAAGACAAGATAAAATTTGTGTCAATATTTCACTTTCTGAACTAATTGTGACTGATACTTTCCTAATAAATAAAAAAATATTACTGAACATCATATACATGAGACTTGTACTTTTTTTTATTTTTGTCTTTATTAGGTCTGACTGTTACAACATCATAAGGTAAGTATACGAAACCAGTAATTGAAAAGTAAATGATTATTGAGTTCCATTTCATTAACTAGTAATGGATGAAATTTATCGATTGATATTGAAACTATTCATCGTTAGAAAATATTTGAAATAAATTTTAGGTTCCAAAGAGAAATAAATAAAACTTTCTAGTTTATAAGAAATCAAGTTTACTGTTTATCTATTAAAAAGTTTCATCTTTATGTATCTCTTAGATCTCTTCATTTAAATCTTCGAATAAAAGAAAATATAAAAACATTTTGTTTACTATTTTAAGGATCACTTCAAACTAGTAATATCATCGTTAATAATACTGTGAAATTGTTTTATTATCCATTATTTAATCAAAACATATTGATATACATGACGTGATTAAAAATAAAAAAAAAGATTTTTTTTTTATTATTTTCTTTATCTAAAAGTCACGATTTATTTGAAGTAATGAATATTAAATAAATCACTTCACCTGGTTTTTGTTCAAAAATTAATGATTTTATAAATTCAAGTACATGAACTAATGACAACAATTTTATGTTCATTAGTGTACAATGTGAACATTCAATAATCCTTTACCTTTCTTTTTTTCTTCTTTTTTTTTTCAAGTTGGCAATATAATAATATTAAAAGAGAATGAATTCTTAATAGAATTCAGTATCAAATTAATTTACTTTCACTTTTATTTGGCCTATCTAATATTTAGAACAACATATATAAGTGAACAATATTGTTTTCGATTAGATCCTCATTAGGCTTTACTCTAATATACAGTAATATTTATATGCATATACAGAATTACAGTACCAATCAAGGTAGTTTATAAGTCAATGATAACAATGCAAACGATTACATAATAAGTGAAACGTGAAAAGTACAAACTGATGGTGTGACAACAGGTGCATTAGTTTTGATAAGCAATAATAATAAAGGTTCAAGTCAATATTACATAATCTGAAATAGGTCAATGATTAGAACCTTGATTTAAACCTTTATTATTATTGCTTATCAAAACTAATGCACCTGTTGTCACACCATCAGTTTGTACTTTTCACATTTTACTTATTATGTAATCTTTTCCATTGTTATCATTGACTCATAAACCACCTTGATTGGTTTAATAACTTATATCTAGATAATTCGATAACAGATCTCTAACCTTTTACATCAATGAGAACCGTTTATTAGACCGACAAAAAGATTATGAAGAGAATTAAATATTTGTGATGTTTTACAATGTGGTTACAGTAACACTGACCATTAGAGATCTATGTCTCAAACAGTGTATACTAAATAAGTGTTTGTAATTTTTGCGTTATCGTTGCCCTATTATCTCTGACTGGAATTGATGACTTATTACATACAGATTATTCAAATAACAGGTCAAAACGTTTCTAAAGAGTGAAACTAAGCAAGTTATAATAATTACTAGTTATCTTAGTAACTAAGCTAATTTATGTGCGACACAAATTAGAAACGGCCTCAATATTCTTGTTGTAATCTCTGGTATTTACTATATATATAGTAGGGTAATCCCTTTGTTGGTTTTCATATTTGATTACGTTTTTGTTGAAGACTTTAATTTACATTTTCTGATGATGATGTGTGGGTGTTAGCCTCAGCAAAGTTACTTCAACCAATCTTATGAAAAATGAAGAGTAAAACTACGAAAGAAGAAAAGTCAAACGTTATCAACAAAATAAACTTTTCCAACTGCGAAAAGCACTACACTGGATAACTTGAAGACTCTCGTCATTTTCATCATTGTGAAAACCAACTGGCTATAAAACACCATGATTTATCTAGGCTTATAGAAATGCACGTAGACACGCGTTCGACTGAGAAAATATTGAAATCTTGGATAAAAGTAATACAAAGACGACCAGAAAAATCTTCTAAGTCCTGGAAGTAGGTCAATCAACAATCATCAAAACTCAGAAATCTATCCAAGTTACCAACCAATAAGAAAAATCATGGACAAATGTAGGATCACCAATCAGGTCAAAAAGAAAGATAATCAAAATAGATTTTCTGACAAAGACATCTTAACCGTCAATAACAACTTATTATAGCCAAGTTTGACAGCAAACGTTGTCAGTCATATGTGTCGAAATTCGAATACCTCGATTTTTCTTGAGGGTTTTCTTTGTTTATACATAAAACAAAGAAATAAATTAACCATATGAATTGCGATTCGAGCGCCAGTCACTGTTTATACTCAAACGAAAATCATTCGTTAAATTGTAACTTATTACTTAATATTAGAGAAGTAAAATATCCTCTATACAAGTGAATGAAAAAAGAATCCGTCTAAATAAGAAGAAAAGATTTTAATCAAGCTAGAATAGACTACAGTCATGAGTCTATAATTCAATTACATTTTCTTATTATTCAACGTTTAAATTAACATAACGATAGATTAGTACATTGTGAAATTCATCAAGAAATAATATTTTTAATTATTACAAATAATTTGTTTACATTGATTATAATAAAGCCTTGACCATGAGTGATTGTGATGAAAATATATTACTGAATAAAAGTAATATGAAAGAGAACTGTCCTTTTATTTTTAATATTTAATAATATCAAGTAACTTGTGAATGTATATTCTACATTTCTTTATAAATTTTTTCTCTAAGAAAATTGACTCGTGATTTCAATCAAAAACTTACCAATCTCCACAACCACTAAACAGATAATTAGCATGTGCTCACTGATGAATAGCTTCGTGAGAAACTTCTCAGAGTTCTGGTGAGAGGCTGCGACCAGTGGAGCTATTTCGTGATGGTAGAAACAGGTGTCTACCTCAGTATAATGGAACACGGTTGACAAGTTTCGTCGATTGATTGAAGTTAGACATTAACACCATTGGATGCGAGCTCAGTAGTCTAGAGTTTAAGCGTTCGCTCGCGAGATTGATAGGTCTTGGGTTCGAATCTCGTGAGGCGGGATCGTGGATGCGAACTGTCTAGGAGTCCCACAATAGAACGAAACGGCCGTTCAGTGCTTCCACGTTTTCCATCGTGGTATAGCTCCAATTAACTTATGAAATCAACTATAAAATTACTAAAATCTTCACAAAATAAATTAAAAGTTATAAATCATATTGAAAATAATATTTTATTTCCGCTTAAAATGAAAATAATTCGACAAGAAAACCATAAAATGTTCCTTTTTCTGATGATGGGAGAGTGATAATGAAATTATTGATTGTTTTTGTAACAGACTGACATTAATTAAAGAGCCACTGAAGGTTAAAAGAGAATTGAACAGCCGTTTCATTTTTATTTGATGTTTATCACAAGTACTTACCCAAACACGTCAGAAATAAAATGAGTTGTCTATAAACCTGGTTTACAATCCAATGGTTTATATTTTCAACTCAAATCAACTTATGATTCTTTTAAGTTACAGAAAGTCAACATCTGCGCACGATTTTGAAGATTTTCTAAATCATCCTCATTAACTTGGAGTCAGAGTCCAAATGTTATATTATTTATTAAGTTTGTTGGTTTACAGTTCTCGATACTTTTTTTAAGTTTAATGATTAAAGTTTACGTCGGTACTGTTCATTAATGTTGTTAGACGGTACCTTTTCCCTCTCTTACAGTTTACAACCTGAAAAGTACCATGTCAAAATTTACTCGTTGAAAGGACACAAATAAAAAATCAACATGAAGCTGTTCAAAAGAATCGAGTGTTAACATTTACTTGATCTAGGGTAATTCTACTAAATAGTTTATGGTTACGCATTACTAGTCGATTATAAGTACTTATGTTCTACTTAGACTTAAACTAATTAATTTCTATACATTCATAAGATATAGTTATAATAAAAAGATTAGTCAACTGTAACTGAAATCAAAACAATTAATTGGAAAATTGTACAATCTGTACAAATATCTAAATGGAGATTTCATATTATTTGTGTATAAAGTACTTAGATGAATACTATATAATTGTCTTGTTTGTGCCTAATTCAAATGCTAAAAACTAGCTCCGAAAATGTGTATATTTACCTAAACCTTTATTATAAATACATAAAATCAATTATCAAATTATCACCACAGTAAACACTAATTTTGACAATGGTATAATCAACTTACCTTGTGCAGCAATTGATTCAGAGTAATTTGATTATAAACTAATAAATTACCATTTTCGACTTGAACATTTTACTTTGCACGCTTTTCATCTCATCATTATTACCAATCAAACAGTGAGTGAGTATCAATAAGCGATAATTTAGTTACCTTTTTTTCTTCTTTCAAGTGAACATATTATTCTTGACCTAAAAAATATGATCAAATACACTTAACGGTTAGTTAACAATAACGATAATAAAAATTTTGTTATTCATAATAAAATATAAACAAATCAAGTTTGTTTGTTTACAACAAGATGTATTTGATTAACTTGCTCAAAATTTTTTTTAAAGTTTTCACTGATTGAAATCATGAGTCAATTGAAGCTAGACCATCATGGAAAACCTGGAAGCACTGGACGGCCGTTTCGTCCTAGTATGGGACTCCTCAGCAGTGAGCATCTACGTTGTAAACAAACAAACTTGATTTGTTTATATTTTATTAGAAATAACAAAATTTTTATTATCGTTATTGTTAACTAACCGTTAAGTGTATTTGATCATATTTTTTAGGTCAAGAATAATATGTTCACTTGAAAGAAGAAAAAAAGGTAACTAAATTATCGCTTATTGATACTCACTCACTGTTTGATTGGTAATAATGATGAGATGAAAAGCGTGCAAAGTAAAATGTTCAAGTCGAAAATGGTAATTTATTAGTTTATAATCAAATTACTCTGAATCAATTGCTGCACAAGGTAAGTTGATTATACCATTGTCAAAATTAGTGTTTACTGTGGTAGTAATTAGATAATTGATTTTGTGTATTTATAATAAAGGTTTAGGTAAATATACACATTTTCGGAGCTAGTTTTTAGCATTTGAATTAGGCACAAACAAGACAATTATATAGTATTCATCTAAGTACTTTATACACAAATAATATGAAATCTC